AGGGTCAGAGCTGGGACTGGAAGCTCTAAGAACCCTCCAGAATGAGCAGGAGGCCTCTGTAAGCCTTGCTGTGTCTGGCGTGTTCCTCTCTTCAGGGTGGGCAAAGTTTTCATTCAGTTTTTACATGCTCACTTTATGCCAAGCCCGTGCCAGGTACTAGAGCTAAAAGATTCATGCTGGCAGAGTATGGCCAGCTTAGCCAGGTGCCCCCAGAGGCACCAAGAAGGACATAGACAGAGGAGGCAGCCACCACCAAGGCCACAGAAGGCAGGAAGAAGGAAGGCCAGTAATGGAACAGGGTAGAAAAGGGTGTGTATGAAGCTGGGATACCACGGGAATGAGAAAGGACAGTGCCCTGGTGAGATGACAGGGAGATGGGGTCGGCTGAGCCTCCCAGACAGGAGGAGTGGACGGGTGATGGACATGGGTGGAATTGCACAGTGTTTAGCCCTGAGGACTATGACCCTGCAAAGCTCAGGCTTGGCTCTGCACCTGGCACCTGGCTGGTACAAGACAGACATGTGTGGGATGTGCCCAGCTCCAGAGAGTGCAGAGGCCAAGGGGCCCAGAAAGGGCGAGGCCAGACCATGCCTCACGCCTGCAGCCTCTATGAAACCCACGAAGAGAGGAGCATGAGCCCATGCCTCTCTATCTATCTGGGGGTGCTAAGGCCAGCCTCATAGCACCCCACCTGTCTGAGCATGCGCCCTGGGCCATCCTCAGTGGTGCTGCAGAGCTAGAGACCCCACTCCACAGCCAGGCTCACTGGGCTTGGCTAGGTGACTCAGCTGAGCCTGTGATGACAGAGGACAGTGGCTGCTTTCCTTCCCCTTGTTGTTGTCACTGTGGGAGAGGCTGAAACTGGATGTCGTTGGGGAGAACCTGGCCAGAACATTTACATGCTATGTGACCTTGTGCAAGACCCACACCCTCTCTGAGCTCCATTTTTATGATCTGGACAATGGGGCTGATGGAAAAGGAATCTGCAGGGAGTCCCTGAGGCAGAGTGACAGGGCAGGGGAAATGGGGGGCTATATGACTCCACCCTATGCACCAGTGCAGGGCAATCAGGGATTCAGGCTCTGGCCTAGAGGAGCTGACGGCCACACTCTTCCTCTCTTCCTACCACGGCCCTGGCATGGTGCCAGCATTCTGCCTGCCCTTCCTGTGTAGTACATTCTGGCCTTGGCTCTTTCTCATTCATTGTTTTCATGAGCAGGTGGTCAGGTAGGTCCTCTCTAGCCTCCCAAAGCCTGGAGGGACCAAGGCTTAGATGGGTCTCAACCCTGGATCTCACATGCTGAGTGACCCCAGGCTGGTCCCTTCCCCTCTGTGACCATGTGATCTCCATCCATGAGGACCCCCACTAGTGGTCATAAACACCAGAGATCATCTTCGCTTACTGTTGCAGTGTGACCATCCCTATTCCACAGATGAGGAAGTCAGCTCGCCAGCCGCACAATTGTTTGCAGAGCATTGACTGAGGAATTGGGTCTCTGAGGTGGGATATAGAGCTGTACCTGCCATGGACTCCCCAGCACAGAGGGGAGAGGGAGACTTCTATCTGGAGAACCTAAAAGATGCAAGGCACGACTGCTCACTTCTTTAAAAATTTTTTTGTTTTTATTTATTTTTATTTTATGTATATGAGTGTTTTGCCTGCATGTATGTAAGTGCACCCATGTTGTGCAGTACCATGGAGGCCAGAAGAGGGTATCAGATCCCCCTGAAATTGGAGTTTGGACAGTTGTTAGCTACCATGTGGGTGCTGGGAACCGAATGGGGTCCTCTACAAGAGCAGCCAGTGCTGAGCCACTTCTCCAACCCCTAACTGCCTACTTCTTAACACCAAGTGACTTCGACACAAAGCCAAGGTTCAGCGATGTGAAGTGAGTTGGCCCAAGTCACGAGCAACCACTACAGGGCTGGATTCTGAAGTGACAGTGTTTCCCCTCCTTTATGGCTGCTCCAGGCCCTGCTGCTGCTGCTGGTGATGCAGCTCTAGGGCCCAGGGTCAGGTCACAGCTATGAGACAGCTACAGGCAGCCAAGAACAGGGGAAGCAGCTAGGGAGTCCAAACTAAACCTAGTTGTGAGAGGAAGGGCAGAACCCAGGATTGGCTGGTAATGTCCTCATGCTTCCTTCCCCAGCCCCCAGAGCAGTTTTCTAGAATATTCAGCCTGGGTATCTACTCTTCTCTTTCCTTAGCTCTAATGCTGAGTGGGGACAGTCCCCCTGTCTCATCAGTTATTGCAGTGCCCACTTCATTCCATCCTGGTAACACCCTGGGAAACAAACTCCATTCTCAGATTCACCCATTTAAGGAGTGGGGACATTGAGGTTTGGATGGGGAGCTTGGAATGCTACAAGTGCACAGGACAGCCTAGTGCCCTACAGTGAAGACACCGCCACACAGCCTCTGAGTGGGCACACAGAGCTTGGACTGCAGCCCCTTACAGGGCTCCTGCACAATGCCTGGGAAGCTTTGGACTCAAGGTTCCACAGCTGGTAATTGGTGAAGCTGGCCTGGCCCAAGGAAGCACTGTCCCTAGACTGGGACCCAAGGGCCCCACAGAGGGCATGGCAGACATCTGGGGTGGCCTGGCACACAGCCTCCAGCAGCTGCCCCCACATATCCTGTACCCTCACCTGCTCCACCGAGTCCCCAGGGACACAGTGGCCTTTGTTTGAGGCAGGCCCCCACCTGAGCTCCCATACCCCAAGAATTGCCCACAGTGCCCTGTGGCCTCCTTGGCAGCAGCTCCTCCCAGCTGGCTTCCCTTCTACCCCTGGGGCCCTTCTGCCTGCTGCTCTACTGTCGGAAAGGGCACTGGTCCAGGCTCCTAGCCTCCCACACCTACCACATGGTTGCCTCTAGAGGTGCTTGGCCTGGGTGTGTACATCTTCCTCTAGATACCCTATTTCTCCCAGGTCCATTGGGGACCCTTGTCTCTATATCAGAACCTGCCAGACCCTCTCCTATCCATTCTTAGTCAATTTGGAGCCAATGCCATCCCCACCCCTGTGCTGATTGTGTATGCTAGGCAAGCACTGTATTGCTGAGCCCCACCCTATTCCCATAGGACTCTGGGCCCTCAACTTTACCTCTTTGGAACTTAGTCTCTCCATCATCACAATGTGAGAATGAGGGTTCCAGTCAGCTCTACCCTCCTCTGATGCAGAAACTGCATTTCCATGTTCCTGTTTCTGGAACTGGGATACATAGAACAACTGCCTATAGTCCTGTGCTGCTGGGCCCTTTCACAAAGCTGGGTTCTCAGGTTGATTCTAGTCCACGTTACCGCTATTAAGGCCCATGCCTACAAATGAAGTTCTTGATCCTCTCAAATCTGCTGCAGTGGGGTCAGCCAGGCAGCAAAGGGAGCAGGCCACTGACAGCACAACAGAGAGGCAGGTCCCTGGCTCTCCAGGAAGAGTGGCAGACTCTAGGGAGCTGGGTCACGGTATTGAGCCACCCCGAGTTATACATGGAGATGGTGTGCTGGATAGCTTTAGTGTCAACTTGACACACCTGGATTGAGGGAGCCTCAATCGGGGAATTGCCTCTATTGGACTGGCCTGTGGCCATGTCTGAAGGGCATCTTCTTGATGAGTGATGTGGAAAGGCCCAGCCCACTGTGGGTGGTGCCACCCCTGGGCAGGTGGGCCTGTGTTGCATAAGAAAGCAGGCTGAGCAGGGGCCAGGGGAGCAAGCCAGTAAGCAGTGTTCCTCCGTGGCCTGTGCTCCAGCTCCTGCCTCCAGGTTCCTGCCCTGAGTTTCTACCTTGGGCTCCCTGATGAACTGTGACCTGGGAGTTGTAAGCTGAATAAATCCTTTCCTCCCCAAGTTGGTATTGGTCAGAGTGTTTTGTCACAGCAATGGAGAACAAACTAGGACAGATGGGGACACTGCACATGGGGTACACAAATAATTATCTCCTGAGGCCCCAAGAGAATAGAACTAGGCAGACAGGGTTTGAATCCCAACTTTGACATATAGCACTGGGCATTCATCACTTTGTTGGACCTCGGTCTCCTCTGCTGCAGGGCAGGGATCACTGCCCCTACCTCCTTGGGCCTCCTTGTCAGCTAAAATAGCCCTTGGCCTGTGCTACCACCTCCCATAGAAACTTCTGGATGGGTTTTACCCAGTACTAGAGTTTGGATGTTGAATGTCCCCATAGGCCCAGAAGTTGAAAATATGGTCCTTAAGGTGGCACTACTAGTGGATCCTTTAAGAGATGGGGACTATGGGTTAGGGCTGTAGCTCAGTTGGTAGAGTGCTGTCCAGCATACATGAAGCCCTGGGTTGAATCTCCAACCCCACATAAAACTGGGTATGATGGGTCATGTCTATAATCCCAGTACCCAGGAAGTGGAGGCAGAAGGCCATCCTTGGCTACACAGAAGGTTCGATATTAACCTGGGCTACATGAGACTCTATTTTAAAAAAAGGTGGTCCAGCAGGAGACCTTTGCACTTACAGCGATGGGGGAAATGACTGTGGGATCCACCCCTCACTCCTTTTATGCTTTGGCTGTGAGATATATTCCTACCATGATGCAGTGCCTTGACAGTCCCAAAGCCCCAAGGCCAACCAATCTTGGGCTGAAAGCTCCAAAATGTTAACCAAAAGAAACCTGCTTGCTTTGTAAATGCATTGTCTCAAGAATTTTGTTATAGTCATGGAAAGCTGACTAACACATCAAGTTTGGAGGAAAGACAGGATGGCATTACTTAAAATAAGAGTGACACAACACATCTGAAATTCTCCTGGGGGCTCCAAAAGTCCCCTAAGAGGCAAGCTGTCACCGTGAGGAGGACAGTAGGCACTGTCTGAGCTACACTGTACCCTGTAGCTCTGTGCAGTAGGCTCCTTACATGCATGGGCTGTGTGTGTGCAGTGTGTATGGACTTGGCAACAGTTTGTGCTTCCATGCATGGGCAAGAGGTACTTCAAAAGCCATCACAGGGTCTAGGTCACAGTTGGGCTGACTTACCTTCCTCACAGGTCACCCCTGAATGTCCAGGGCAACACCTCCATTCACGGGCAGTCACTGTCTTGTATATCACTTTGTACATGGGCCTTACCACAGTTCTGTAGCTGAAAGAAAGGCCAGGTAGCCTGGCTCAGACAGGGCCTCCCACCACCTGTCCCACTGTCCTGGATGCTCTCACCCAGGCCTCAATCCACAGTGTGCCCCCAAGTGGAGAGCCAGTGCTCCCTCCCTATTGCAGCGCCACATACCTGTTCCCGGGGCAGCTCATGGGCCACGGGCAGTTCTGCAGCACTCGCTGGAGGTAGGTTCCATTCTGTACATGGCATGAGACAGTACGGGTCACCACATATGAGCACCAGTTCCTGAGATAAACCCACAGGGAGGAAGGTCAGGTGCCAGGCACAGGACTGCAAGAGGATGGATGGAGGGGACCATGTATTCCTAGGAACCCTGAGTCTCCAGGCAGAGACTCCTTGCTCAGGAGGCCTCATGCAACAAGCTGCAGGGGCAAGACAGCACAGGGCCTAGTCATCAGAGCTCTGCCTCTAACCTTGAGCCACCTAGGCCACTGAAGCTATTGGCCTCCCACTGCCACCAGTTGAAGCCTTTTAGAAACATATTTTTTCACAGGTATAAAATCTTCACCTACTTCTTAGGAAAAACATTTCTAGCCAAGGGATAAGATGCAAGCTCTGGATCTGGGCGTGGTGGTGCACACCTGTAGTCCCAGCACTTGTGGGGCAGAGGCAGACGGATCTCTGTGAGTTCAAGGCCAGCCTGGTCTACATAGTGAGTTCCAGACAGCTGGGGCTACAGGGAGACCCTGTCTCAAAAAGACAAAAAAAAAAGATGCAAGCTCTGGGGTCAGCTGGAGCTGAGTCCAGCCATGACCGGCTACTCATACAGAGTCCTGGGAGGTACATCCCACCCACGGTTTTAGTCTGCCCTTCTGTAAAGATTCAGGGTGCAAGAATTTAAATGCGGGAACACAAAGAAAGTCTAGGCACAGCTCCTAGTGTGTAGCAAACGTCACAAGCAGACTATCGTTTATGTCGGAGATGGACAGCCCTCAGTCCTGAAGGTAGCAGTTTGATGAACACAGTTTTTCTTTAATGTTACACATATAAATCTATACATGTGTATAAGTGCTTTTTGGCTATCTTTTGCTCTAATTTTGTTGTTTAAGACAAGGTCTCACTAAGTATCCCAGGCTGGTCTTGAGCTCATGGTCCTCTTGACTCTGACTCTTAACTGCGGGGATCCCAGGCGTGTGCCATCATGCCAGCTCTCCCATGCTTTACAGAAGGGCACTTGACCTGTACCTGTTGGTTGGGAGTGCTCTTATGTGGATGTGAAAGGTGGTCTTCAGGCTAGCATGTGGAGGCCTTGTGTTCTGTCAGTATCTGTTTTCTGGATCAGGTCTTGTAGTTGTTCAAGCTAGTCCCAGTTTTGTGCCATTTCCAGCAGTGTGACAATAAACACCTGCCACCTGTGCCCTGGGTCATGTGTTCCTGTCATGTTGTGAGCCACTGCTTCCCCCTTCTAGGCCCAGGCTTTTCCTCCTCCCTCTTAGCTGGTTTTAGCAAGGTCCAGAGAGATGAGGGGGCCTTCCTTAGCCTCCCAGACCTAGTCCTGCCCTGGGGCTTTCTCTTCCTGGTGGGTGGGGTGGGAAGGTGATGAACTGCTGCGGGGGTGAGGGAGTGCACGGGTGGGTACCTCTGCAGTGGCAGGACATTCCAGGTGCTCAGAAGTCCTAGGGCCTGCCTCAGTCTGGGGTCATGAGCCCAGGGTGATTTGCTGGGGATGGAGAACAGAGAATGAGGGGTGGTGTCAGGTGGCCTTTCTCAGCCTGGGTCCTCTTTCCCAGCAGACTGCCCTCCATGGCCTTGAGCACAAGGTCAGCAGGTTCCCAGGCTGGGACCTTCACAGAGCCACAGACCATGAGGAGATGAACATTGGTGCCTCTGGGACAGAGTTAGAGCCCAAGCTGGGCTATCCACATGCCTGAACTCAGATCTGGCTCTGTGCCCCAGCTTGGTGCCATTAGCAGTTATCTTCACCTCCCAGGACCCTCAGTGTCTCCTCTAAAATGGAGGCATGTCTTTCTGGCTTACTACTGGAGAATCACGTAAATACCTTTAGCATACAGTAAGTGCTCAGTGTGTGCAATTTAACATTTAGGCAGGTGCTTAGAACACTGCATACTGGCTGTCACAAAGTAGGTATGTGAGGATCCTAAGACAGGGCCTGTCCTCCCTATATCCTCAGAGGGGGACAAACACAAAACAGTAGCCTAATTCTGCAAGACAAGAGATCCCCAAACTGCAGGATGCAAGCCAGGTGTAGTGGCACAGACCCTTAATCCCAGCACTTGGGTGTAGTGCCACACACCTTTAATCTCAGCACTTGAGAGGCAGAAGTAGGGTCAGCCAGGGGCTACATATGAGGACCTTGTGTTAACAAAACAAAACAAAAAGTGTGAGATGCAGGATGCAAGGCAGGGCACCAAGAAGTATGCGCAGATACGGATGTATGAGGGAAAAGACGGAGGGAAGAGCCCAACAGTTTTGAAGTTAGGAGGTAGCACTTGGGAGGAAGAGCACTGTGGGCAGCAGCCCAAAGCAAAGACCTGGGGGATGTCCACAGCAGGTCCTAAGGGTTGGGCAGTGGGGAAGCAAGGGAGAAACATAGCTGGGTTTCCATTCTCCCTGGACAGGTGTGTTGGCTTACACCTGCAGTCCCCGCACTCTGGAGGTTGAGGTGGAAGAATTATTTGAGCCCAGAAGTTTGAGGCCAGCCCAAGCAACAGAATTAGACTCCCACCTCAAAGTAAGAAATAGAAGGGCTGGCAAGATAGCTTAGAGGGCAAAGTGCTTACTGCACAAGCCAGATGACCTAAGTTTGATCTGTAGAACACACATAGGAAGGAAAGAACAGTCCACAAAGTTGTCCTCTGATCTCTACATCGCACCGCAACATATATGCCCCCTATCATGCACTCATATAATCATTTTTAAAGTTAAAAAAAGGAAAAAGGGGAAAAAAGAAACCACTGTCACCCGGGTCCTTAGGGTTGTGGCTTGGAGCCTTTTGGGGTAGGTCTGGAAGATGGGGACATAAGCACCTTTTGGGAAAGGATGGGAAAGTGGTTCTCCCTCCAAAATGCATAGAACTTGATGTACAAGTTCAGGGGTGCTGGTGCTCCCTGATGCTCAGGCTGGCCAAGAGCTCCTCAGTGAAGGAAAGAAGGAGGGGGCAACGTAGCAGAGAGGGGAGCCAGGGATTCAGGGCCTGTGGGCATGGAATGAATATTGTGTGCTGTGTACAGCACATACACACAAACTCACACATATCAGCACAGGTGGCTATGAGCACACAGAGTACACACACACACGTGCCTGCAGTGCTTAGATGTGTGCCCGTGAGCATATGGGCAGACCCACGGAAGCACACAGACTTGTGTACACATGTCAATGTTCACCCAGCAGGACATGTCTCTACAGAAACAACCTTCTACCCTGTCAGTGTGTCAGAACACACACACACACACACACACACACACATCGTCTCCTGTGGACAGACAGACTGAGGTCAATGACCTCCTCAGGTGTCCACACAAGCACACACAGTGCCAGGTATTCTTGCCATGCACATATGTGCGTGTATGCACAAACTGGCAGAGGCAGGCCTTGGGGGGGCTCACATGTTCATGCAATCCTCTTGCACATGTGTGCACAGGTACATGCAGCCATGTGTACACACATGCAAACAAATATCCCCCAAGCTCAGCTCTGGACTTGGCTAGGGACAGTGTGTTTGTGAACCCCTGAAGTCTTCTTTTCTCTAGAAGGGAAACCATAGTTTTTCTTCTTTTTAATTAAAATTTCCCCTAGAAAGGTCTCATGCTGGTTTCCTGTTATTTGCCACAAGCTGGACTCTGCCTGAACCCCCTGTGTAGGACACAGGACTGGCCAGACATTTTATATAGGAACTCAAACCAGATGGAGTTCAAGGTCAGCAGGCTGCCTCCTCCACCTGGGGATCAGGCCCCCTGACCGCTACACAAGCCCAAGCTCCTCTGTCCACTTTCCACTAATAGGAATCTTTCCTTCTTTCTTTCCTTCTTTCTCTTTCTTTCTCTCTCTTTCTTCCCCCCCCTTTTTTTTTTACATTGTGTGTGTGTGTGTGTGTGTGTGTGTGTGTGTGTGTCTATGTGTGCAGGCACACAGGGGAGTCCCACAATGCATGTGTGGAGGTCAACTTTTGGGAATTGGCGCTCTCTTTCTATGTTGGTCCTGGGGCTTGAACGCAAGTCGTCAGGCTTGCTGGCAAGCTCCTTAGGGGTGGTTGCTTAATGACTGCATGACTAAGAACACAATAGCCTGAGCTGAAAATCTGTGACCCAAGGTTGAGAGAGAGGCTCCATTCACCCATCTTGCCATCCCATGGGGCTTCCTTTCCTGGGGTGTGGTCAGTGATAAGATTGCCCAGGAGCTAGATGAGGCTGGGCTGAGGTGGGGAATGGGCAGGGCTGGCAGAAGATGATACATCCCCCCCTGGTTCCCCCACTTCTGCCCACTTAGCATGTCCAGGTCTTCCAGAGGCCACTGGGAGGTGGAAAAAACAGGCCAGACCAGCTCAACCTGGTGCTGGGCACCCTCTCCGGTGTTCACTCACACCCACCCTACACTCCCTGCCATGAGGGGCCCTGGGGACTTTGTCTCCACAGGGCCTAGAGCTGCGATCCGGAACAGTGATAGGGGCTAATTGCAGGAGGCAGCCAAGTGGGCCAGGGGCCAAGGGACGTTATGAAAAGGAGAGGAAAGAACAGAGACAGGCAGTGGGGGTGGGGTGACAAGAGCCAGAACCCAGCACTAGGGCTCAGCTCCAGTCCTGCAATGCTGCTTCCTATGTTGGTGACCTTGGACAAGGCCTTGATTGGCTCTGATCTCTCTGTGCCCATCTGCAGACAGGAAGAACAGAATAGCCTCCATGCAAAGTGCTCAGCCAGCTCTTCGGCCCAGTTCAATTCTTCCTAGCCTGGGGTGCCACAGCCAGCCACACTGATATCCTGACATCTGACCACAGTGACTTCCCTCAGGGCCCAGGACACCAGCACAGTAATGTCTCCTAAGGTCAAATGGGTTTAGGGCAGACTTTGCCCTTTACAGAGGGGGAAACTAGGCATTCAAGAGAAAACACCTGCCCAAGTTACCCATGAGGGCACAGAGCTGGGATCTGTGAATGCTAGAGCCATAGTGTTGAGTTGTTCAAAGAAACCAGGATCGAGGCTGGGAGGAATGTCATGGGGCAAGAAGCAGTCGCCCCCCCTCCTCCCAGGGACTGGGGACTGGCAGCAGCAGGGTGCTCCAAGGTGGCTCTGCACAGCCCCTGGGCACCCTGTTTGTGGGGGGGTTCAAAGTCTCACCACATTCCTAGGGTTGGGGGTGGCCCCTTGGATGCCTTCCCGAGCCTCCCCCTCCCCAGGCACAAAGCCTCTTTTCTGCATTCAGTCTCTCAGCTGCTACAGGGTGCCCAGGGGTGCCTGGCTGGGGGTGGAGGGAGGGCTGATGGGGTGCAACATCCCCATGCTGTCTCCAAGATGCTGGGACAGGGCCACAAGGGGAGGTCCTGGCAGTTGAGGGCCACAAATGACTGCAGCTCCAGATCTCTTCTCTACTTAAAGTTGATGATAGTGGGAATCCATGTGTATGACCCTACGCCAGTCCCATGGGGACTTTCCACTCTCAGAACAGAGCCTCAAACAGAGGATATGCAAAAATAAGAGGAAACTGAGGCCTGTGGCTAAGTGACCTGCTGGACATCACAGTCAGCTAGCAAAAGAGCCCTAAAGTCTTTACCATGATCTGCAATCCTTCCTAGGCCCTCAATGGCAAGCTCTCCTCCAGGAGGTTAGCTAGGGACAGGAGGATGGTGGATTCACAAATCGACCAGCCTGGATGGGGGCACTCTTTCTTCTCTCCACGTCAGTCTCCATATCTGTAAAATGGGAGTCAGAGCATTGCCCATAGAGTTTTTATGACACAGGCTACAGTCCCCAGTGAAGTCCCCAGATATCTGTTCACAGGCATAGTCCTGTTTCCACACGGGAAGCCCCAGGGGGTGAGGAACGCAGCCTGGGAGCCCCACCTTGGGCTGTCAGGAGGGGAGTCAGGCCTTCCACTTTCTCACCCATCACCCCAAGCCTGACTCCGGGAACTCCACATCCCTAATGCCTTTCATCTTAGTCCCTGGGATTCTGGGGCTCACGCTGAGTGTCAGGACACATAATTTTCTCCTCTGAGCTTTGATTTCTTACTCTATAAAATAGGGATAAGACAGCTGCCTCTGGTGGCATGCAGGAAGGTTCTGAAGGCAATGGCTGTGTGGTCAGCACACAGTAGGTGGTGGTGGCTGTGACATCTGCCACACGTCTGTCCCTCAGACAACTGTTATTCTGGCCTCTGATGTCTTGACCACTTCCATCCTCCCAGCCTGCTTTTGTCACCTGCTTTTGCTAGCCCAGAGGGAGCCGGCAGGCCTCTGACCACTGGGAAAGGGGAATTTCTGAAAAGAATTAAAGAATTGAGGTCACAGGGGGTGGGGCCCGGCAGGCCTTTGAATGGGATGAAAAGGCCTCAGAGGCCTGGTTAGTCTACATTGTCTGGCCCGGGACAACAGTGGCTTGCTCTGGAGCCGGGACCCCAGCAGGGGCGGGAGCTGCAGGCACCGCTGGGACCAGGGCAGGTTCAAACTCTGGCATCACGGGCCAGAATCCCAGCCCTTCCATGAATAGCCTAGGAGCCAAGCAGCTCTTGTAAATATCTCTGGCGTCAGTTTGCTCCTCTGTTGAATGGGGGCACTTTTCCCTACATCCTTCAGTCCTGCCCGGCACGGTCTAGAAAAGGCCCCCACAGGACCCTGTCCTGGGAACTACTTAGTAACTCGGAGGCCCGGCTGTTGGGGGAGCCGCAGGACCAGTCACTATCCAAATGCCAGGTCCCAGGGGGCCCCCTCTGACCCTGACCCACAGCGCCAAGACTCCACCCCAGTCCTTCTTCCAAACGAAATAAATAGTTGAGATACTAAAAAAAGCCGGGAGCAGGGAAAAGGGGAGGAGGGTCCCTGCAGGGTTGGCTACGGGGTGACCCTGGCATTTTCCATATGCAGGGGGAGGGGGCCTTGAGTCAGGCCCACAGAAGTCCTGGGGGGCTTCGCCTACGTTACGCCCGCCCAGTGCGTCTTCTGGGCGGCTCTGGGGTTCGCAGGGGAGGAGTAGGGGAAGCTGTCCCTACACACACGCGTAGGGGATCCAGCACTCCAGAGCTCCCAGCTGGCAGAAAGGTGGGATCCGAGGTCTCTGCCTCAGTCCCAGGCTGGCACGGAGGTAGATGGGGGTCCCTGCCCCAGTCCGGAGATTGCACGGGGCTGGGGGACTAGGTCCCTGCCCCAGTCCCGGGATTGCATGGACCTGGGGGCGAAGTCCCTGCCCCAGTCCCGGGATTGCACAGACCTGGCGGACGAGGACCCTGCCCCATCCCCAGGATTGAACCGAGCTGGGGGAGCCTTACCTGCGTCCGGAGAACCGGGAGCTCTGGACGCTCCACGCGGCACCGCCTCCCGGGAGCAGGAGCCCAAGGCAGAGCAGCGCCCAGGCCCGTTGGCCGCCCATGCTGCGTCCCGCGCCGCCCGCGCCGTCCCCGCCCGCCGTCTCCGCCGTCCCCGCCGTCCCCG